GCAAAATGCCATCAAGAATTTGGCGTGTCTTGCAAAAGTTTGGAAAATCAGTTGGCTCAGATTGCAAAACAAAATGCTGAAAGACCATCTGGAAGCCTGCCCAGTGACACAGTTGTAAACCTCAAGGGGAATGATCAAGAGCAAGCAAAGGCTATTACTCTTAGAAATGGAAAACAACTCAATCAGCCAAGTCAAAAAGTCACTCCCGTGAGTGACCCTACAGGTAAGAATGAAACACTTTCTGAGAAAATATCTGATAATGATGATTTGGTTGAACAGGAGCAAGCAGCTGAAAAACCTGGAATGGAGGAAATTCAATTCCCAGTACCAATCAAGGAGCCACAAGAGCCAGCTCCAATCCCACCATATCCGGTAAGACAAAAGAATGCCAAAATGGATGAAGGGCTCAACAGGTTTATTCAAAATTTGGAAAGTATACATATTAATGTACCACTTGTTGATGCACTTAAACAAATGCCAAAATACTTCAAGTACTTGAAAGATTTGGTGGCTAATAAACCACAAGTGCACGACTCTGCTTTTGTCACTCTAAATGAAGAATGTAGTGCAGCTATTCTGAGAAAATTTTGCCACCTAAGCTAAAAGATCCGGGTAGTTTAACTCTCCCTTGCACGGTAGGAATCAGAGAATTTTCAAAAGCATTACTAGATCTTGGTGCAAGCATAAATCTCATGCCATTGTCTGTATTTAAATCACTTGATCTGGACAAATTTCTGGTACCTACTAACATGACATTGCAGTTGGCAGATAGGTCACTGACCTACCCAAAGGGAATCTTACTTGACATTCTTGCGAAGGTTGGTAATTTCGTTTACCCAGCAGACTTTGTGGTTTTGGACATGGAAGAGGACAGGGATGTGCCCATCATCTTGGGGAGACTTTTTCTGGTGACAAGTAATGCAACCATTAAGGTGAAGAAGGGAGAAATCACACTGCACTTTGATGGAGAGAAGGTTACCTTCAACATCTTCAAAAATATGAGATATCCTACTGAAGTCCATAACTGCTACATGGTAAGAAGTATAGAAGTAGAAGGAGTAGTGACAGAAGAAATACTGCAAGATGATCTCCTCAAGGAACTCTTATGCCCAGACAGTAATGAGGAACAGGAAGGAGGGGATGAGTACAGGATCACTTGCCTGAGTTACCTGAACCACTCCCCCAAGTGGCATCCTAAACAAAAACCCTTTGAACTGTTAAACCTGACTAACGAAGGAAGATGCCTCAACCCTTCAATTGAAGAACCACCTCATTGGAACTTAATCCTCTGCCTTCACATTTGAAGTATGCCTATATTGGAGCAAGTAACACCTTACTTGTGATCATTTCTTCTATGCTTATAGGTACTGAAGAGGATAAGCTGCTAAGAGTGCTGAGGTTGCACAAGGAAGCCATTGGATGGTACAGATATTAAGGGCATCAGTCCTTCCATATGTATGCACAAGATCCTACTTGAAGACGATGCCAAGTCAACCATTGAAGGACAAAGAAGGCTCAACCCAGTCATGAAGGAAAGGAGATTATCAAGCTGCTGTACACTGGAATCATCTTCCCAATATCTGACAGTAAATGGGTGAGTCCAGTGCAGTGCGAGACCAAGAAAGGAGGAATCACAGTAATAAAAAATGACCTCCAAGAGCTGATTCCTACAAGGCTGAACAATTCATGGAGAGTGTGCATGGACTACAGAATGCTTAATAAAGCTACGAAAAGGACCACTTCCCACTTCCCTTTATTGATCAAATGCTAGATAGATTGGTTTGATTCATGTATTACTGTTTCCTTGATGGTTTCTCAGGTTACAACTAGATTGCCTTAGATCCTAATGATCAAGAAAAGACGACGTTCACCTGCCCCTATGGCACATTTGCCTTTAAGAGAATGCCATTTGGACTGTGCAATGCACCTACAACATTTCAAAGATGTATGATGACCATTTTCTCTGATATGGTGGAAGACATAATTGAGATCTTTATGGACGACTTCTCGGTTTTTGGTAAGTCGTTTGATGCGTGTCTGGACAACCTTGAACTGATATTGAAGAGATGCATAGAAGCCAACTTAGTCCTCAACTGGGAGAAGTGCCATTTTATGGTAACTGAAGGGATTGTCTTGGGACGTAAGATCTCACAGGAAGGAATTGAAGTGGACAAGGTAAGGATTGAAGTCATAGAGAGGCTCAGCCCACCAACCACAGTCAGGGGAGTAAGGAGTTTCCTAGGCCATGCCGGCTTTTACAGGAGATTCATTAAAGATTTTTCAAAAATTTCTAAACCATTATGCAACTTGCTTGAAAAAGACACTGCTTTTATTTTTGATGAATCTTGTTTAAACGCATTTACTGGACTGAAAAAGAAACTCATCTCTACACCTGTAATCATCACACCTGATTGGTCACAGCCTTTTGAACTAATGTATGATGCTAGTGATTTTGCAGTTGGTGTTTTACTTGGACAGAGAAGGAACAAGGTGTTGCATGTGGTTTACTATGCTAGTAAAACCCTCAACCCTGCACAAATCAACTAAACCACTATAGAGAAGGAAATGTTGGCAATTGTGTTTGCATTTGACAAATTCAGAGCTTATTTGCTAGGAATGAAAGTCATAATCTACACAGACCATGCTGCCATCAGGTACTTGATCAATAAAAAAGAGTCTAAGCCTAGGTTGATTCAATGCGTGTTGTTGTTACAGGAATTCGATTTGGAGATAAGAGGAATTCGATTTGGAGATAAGAGACAAAAAGGGTGCTGAAAATCAGGTAGCAGACCATCTGTCAAGACTTGAAGAAATTCCAGAAGGCACAACTCCAATTTCAGAAAAATTCCCTGATGAGTCACTCTGGCGAGTGACAAGCACGCTCATGGGAGTGACAGGTAACAGGCATTGGTTTGCAGATTTGCTAACTTTGTTGCTGCTGGTATTATTCCTCCAGATTTCACCCCACAACAGTGCAAAAGGTTCCTCCACGATGCTCAACTCTACCTATGGGATGAACCCTACCTATTCAAAAAATGTGCAGAGCAGTTGATCAGAAGGTGTATTCCAGAAACTGAGTTCACAGATGTGTTGCACAAATGCCACAGTTCTCCCTATGGTGGACATTTCAACGGTCAAAGAACGGCAATCAAGGTCCTGCAAGCTGGACTGTATTGGCCAACTCTGTTCAGAGATGCACGTGAATTTGTCAAAAGCTGTGACAGATGTCAAAGGACAGGAAACATTTCCTGGAAGAATGAGATGCCACAACAGAACATGCTTGAAGTAGAACTGTTTGATGTATGGGGGATAGATTTCATGGGTCCGTTCGTGTCATCCTTTGGGAACACCTACATCCTACTGGCTGTATACTACGTTTCAAGATGGATAGAAGCCGTAGCTGCAAAAACAGTGATGCTAAGACTGTTCTCAGGTTTTTAAAGAAAAACATTTTTGCCAGGTTTGTTACACCCAGGGTGATACTCAGTGATGAAGGATCACACTTTTGTAACAAGTCATTTGCAATCATGGTGAAGAAATATGGTATCAGGCACAGAGTATCAACACCATACCACCCACAATCAAACGGGCTAGCAAAAGTGTCAAACAGGGAAGTGAAAAGAATCCTGGAGAAGGTTGTCAACTCTACCCGAAAGAATTGGTCCTCAAAGTTGGATGAAGCTTTATGGGCCTACAGAACAGCATATAAAACTCTCATTGGTATGTCCCCGTTCAAACTGGTCTATGGGAAAGCATGCTACTTGCCAGTGGAGTTGGAGCATAAGGCTTACTGGGCAATCAAAGAGCTGAATCTTGATCCAAGAAAAAGCAAGGAACTTAGATTGATGCAATTGAATGAGCTGGAAGAGTTCAGACTGGAGGCATATGAATCATCCAGAGTTTACAAGGAAAAAACTAAGGCTTACCACGATCAACACATTGTGAAGAAGGACCTGCAAGAAGGACAAGAACTCTTGTTGTACAATTCCAGGCTGAAATTCTTTCCAGAGAAATTGAGGTCAAGATGGACCGGTCCCTACAAAATCAACAAGGTCTTAAATCGAGGAGCAATGGAGATCATGAATCCACAGAATGGCAACACCTTTTTGGTCAATGGGCAGAGACTAAAGCCATAACTTGGTCTGAAAGAAGGGAATAAGGGACAGGATAGTCACGTCCTTGCCCTCAAGGAGCTCAATTGAATTTTTTTGTGAAAGTCTGGCATTAGACTTAAAACCAATGCGCTTTATGGGAGGCATCCCATACGTTTTGCTTTTGTGTGGCTAACCTTGTGCTATTCCAATTTTCCAGGAACGGATAAGGTGTCTGTCACCCCCAACGGATTTCAGAAAGTGCAACATAAAAAGGACTCAGGTAAACTCACTCCCAGGAGTGAAGAAGATCACTCGGCCGAGTGAACCTACAGCAACGTGATTCTGTAAGTCTTTCAAACCCTGACGTCACTCACGCAAGTGGGACAAATCACTCACCTGAGTAAGGACACCTGTACAACACTTTCTGCAAAAGCTCACCTTTTTGAACTCTATTTCATGGTTTAAGTTTGGGGGGAAATTTTTTCCCAGAAATTTAACCGCGTCCGTTTTAAAGTTACTCGGGTCAGCTACAACTTCCCAAAAATTTTAACTGTTGTGCATTAATTTGCAATTCCTCCACATCTTCGTCTTCTTCATCTTCTTCTTCTTCCAGAGCCAGTCTACACAATTTTCATTATACTATAATAAGATTTTAATTCATATTATTTGAGTGGTTATTTCGTGATGAAATTTGGTGTAGTTTTGGTTTCTTATTATCATTAGATGATTAAGCAATCAAATTTGGTTTATGATTCAAAACCACATAGAATTAACAAAGATAAATCGTAATTTAATTAGTTTTCTAATTTTTAAATCAAAAAGTTTAGAAAATTTCCACAAATATATGAGTAAATCTTATGTGACAAAAGGAAAATTACTTTAGTTTTCTCTCTCTGCATTTTCCATTAGTTATACAGGTAGATAGATTAGCTTACTTCAAATTCTATCCAGATGAAGTTCTTAGGGTATTTTCAACCACATCACTTGAACTCTGACTTGAATCATCCCAATTCTCAGCAAAGCCATCTCTTGACTCATTTGATTATTGATCATTATTTTGATGATTAATTGACTCTTCTTTTTTGCTTTACCTAGAGGATTGAGATGAAATCTCCTTCTTTGAAAGCCAACTCCTCACAGCAAACTTGTCTCTAGTCTTGAAAGGAAACAATCTCAGCCTTCCAAATAACAAGAACACTTATGATTCTTTAAAGAAGAACTGCGATGGGAAACTCCATGATTCTTTCATTTTGTCCTCTATTTTACTTCTTCTCCAATAATCTTTAACACATGCTCTACATTTTATTAAATATGGTAAATCATGGCAACCATGACAGCAATCATCACATTTCTTTTAAATCTGGTCTTGCACCATATTTTCATCATGTTGCTTATGTGATACCACAGACAGTTCCAACCAATGCAAACCTTTGTCAAACAGCTCAGCAGATAAGTTACATTCAAAGAATAGATGCTCTACATTTATGCTTGGCTTTGAGATAAGGTACATGGTCGGTGATATTTTTTCTAACAAATAACAAAAAAAATAAAAGTTTCTCCTTCTCTCTAAGTAACTCACCAGAATATCTTCCCTCCTCCCCTAAACCATTAACGGTGGTTGGGGGAGCCAAAAACTTTTATTTTTCCTTTTGTATTTTCAGAATAAGGTCAGTATGACCATTACTCAGAAGAAAAAGCAGTCCAGATTCAGGCGACCCGGACTTTCTGTTGCCGGATCTACTGCCACCGCCGGAAACCCAAAACGGTGGCCACCTATAACTGGTCCGAAGTCTACCAGCAGTGTTGACTGTTGCAGATCCGACTATCTCATATCTGAACATGACTGCTGGCTGCTGTTGTGGCCTCCTCAGCATACACCGTCAATCACCGCCGCCGCTGCCGCCGCTGCCGCCGCTGCCACCGCCGCTCCCTACGTACCACATCCTCCACCGCATCAGATCTGACGCCACATCAGATAAGCCGCACCAAATCCGAGAGAAGCCACCACGGGTCCAGTCGCTGCTCTCCCTGATGCCACTCTGGTCCGCCTCTGCTGGAACCCGGTTCCTACCGGTCAAGCTCACACCACCACCGCACCACAACACCCATGATGATGGGTGCAGATATGACTCCCAGATCTGAAGGTGCAAAGGCTGTGGCTGCCCGTTTCTACATCTGATGCCCAACTCCACTGGACTTCTGACCCGCCTCAACTGAAGCTTCGACAACAGCACCTCTGACAGCAGCATCCATCCGGCATCCACCACGTCGAGAAGAAAGCCGCCGTGAAGAGAGCCGCTGTTGACCTGCAAAAAAGTCCAGATCTGGACTTTCTAAAACTCAAACCAAAATGAACCAGTCTAATCGGTACCGGTTCAATCGGTGCCGGTCTAATCAGTAAACCGATTTTACTGATTGATCGGTTTGTGGGTTTCTCTGGTTTAGAAATTTACCAAACCGGGATGTTTTGATTATTTAGAATGTTCGTTTTGACAATCGGCCGGTGACTTATATATCAGAGATTAATTCGGAGGCAACCGTACCTAAAATTCCCTGTACATCACTCACATATCTGGATTCTCAAGTATGTCCACCGAATGCGGCAATCTAGATATGTGATCTAACATACGCGAATTACTTTGACAGGGAAAAAGGTCTTTTGTTCTCTTGCATCACTGGAATACTTTGTCCGACAATACCGAGACTCATATGAATATTGCAAATATTTAGAATATTTCTCGATAAGGTTTTCTTTTGAAATATCAATATATTCTACTGATATTAATATCACCGTCATTTAGTGATGGTTCTTTCTTTGTACAGAGTAAGTCTTAAGCACTGTTCTGAAAATTTTTTCTGCTATTTATAAAATAACTCAGGTTATTACCTGGTTTATTAAAAACAAAAAACAAAAAAAAGGTACATACAGGGTCCACACTTAGCATATTCATTTTCAACGACCTATCTTTAGTCAGCAGGTAATTCCACCAAGACAGCCAGCAAGGAACTGCATAAACTGAGCTGCAAAGTATTTATTATCTTCTGCTATCAGCCATTTGTAACTAAAATAGGCTGTATATTTACCTAAGGAACAGTGCTTCCACTTGTTGGCTTCAAACTACATTTTCAGCAACCCATGTACTCTGCTTAACCACTAAAATCTTGGAAGAGATAGCCCAATAAAACATTGAAGTTCTGAATCCTAAGCCATTATTCTTTCTGTCAAGAAAAATAGTTCACATTAAAAATTATAGATTATATTGTCTTTAATATATTTTATATTATAGTCAACTTTTGTTGAAAAGAGATAGTATGGAGTTGTGGAAATTGGAATATCATTGTCCAAAGTCCACATTATATAAAAGAGTTTTTTTTTTTTTAATTTCTGATTTAGTTAAAAAGGGAATGTGAGGAGACCATCTAGATTGAATGATTGTGAAGTTGCAAAATTGAATGTTTCCTACTTCAAGACTACTTTGATATGTAGATTTGGCATGGGTAGTATATAAAATGATCCTAATGAATCAATTTTTCTACATTATGATCAACTTCGCTGATGAATTGAAGATTGAAAGTCTTTGTTTGATAGAATATCTTTAAACCCCACATAGTTTTTTTGCAATAGTGTATGCTGTCTTTAGGACAAAATCTACTATACAATTGTTGTACCACATAAGATTCTGTAAACAGAGAAACAAAAAATGAGTAAAGATGTAATTTTATTAACTAGAATAGTTATCAAAAAATTAGGGTGTCATTATGTTTTAAGGCCCGTGCCTAAAGGAAAGGGGGAAGGGGTGACTGCTTGGGGCCCAATTCTAGAGGCGGGCTCAACTTCATTATAAATATTGGTACTATACTAGTTTTAAATGTTGTTTTAAAAAAATTGAATAATTATAAAAGGGCTAATATTTTGAGAAATTTCGTCCAAAGTTGTTATAATGTACATATACTTAATCTTAAAATGAAATAATAGTAAAATACTGTGGCAAGCCCTATCCCATTAGTAGACATGATTTTCTTAAGAAAATACAAGTAAAAAGAAAAATTATTATGCTATTGTAACATGATCTTCCCCCAAAAATTTTCCATATCCTATAAGTCTTATTTAAGAATCAAAATTAACCCCATCAATCATCATTCCAATTACTTCTTTTATTTTTCCTCTAAAGAAAATTTCGATATTGCCAATGCAATACAAAGAAACGTTCATCGATTTATAAACATTGTGTAGCAAGTATATGATGGATTATTAGTACCTATATTTAATAGGAGCTTCCGAATTTTTTAAGTGGCCCTTGTTTTTATTTCGCCCTTAGGCCTGTTGAATGTAAGCATCAGCCCTGCATGTTTTGTTATATGGTGAATGTATAGTTGCACTAAAAAAATGATATTGTACAGTAGATTTTTTATGCATTTAGATAGAAAATAGGATTGAAACTTATGTTGCTCAAATTATTTAATTTTGCAAATGTTTAATTAAAGAGGTTTAAAAATGCATGATATCTATATGAAAATTGTCTTTTCACTAGTTTCCAACCATAAACAGAAATGTCAAACCTAAACTTCCTCGTTCTATAGCTTCGACTAACATCAATCAAAGACCTTTTCATTAGAAAAAATAAAAATAAAAATACATTGCTTCAAAATGCTGTTCAAAACCTAATACAGCCGGACCATTGCTTCACTAAATCCCAATAAAAGTCCTTTTTACTGTGAGCATTAAATTTATAGGTTTTTTTTTCCTCCAAAGATCCCATATCTATTTTTTAATAAATTTATTATAAAAGAGAAACTAATGAGAGAAAATAAAATTCATTTACTATTAAAATTCATCGTGTTTTCTCATACACTGTCCAAAAAATATCTTGGGGAATTATGAAAAAATCGTCAAATTTTAATAATAAGTAACAAAAGAACTCAATTGTTTTTTATAGCAATCTCAAAAATGAAGCAAATTTCCTTAATGCAACCATCAAACAAGAAAGTAAGAAAATAATTTGTCTATCCCGTGAAACTCAAAAGAGTGCAGAAAATTTACAGTAAGATGATCGTTTATCTAAGGATTTCTATCTCTTTAACTCAAATCAAGCAAAAAACACATAATTTATGAAAGATTCGAATTAAACAACAACCCACACTAAGAATAGTAAGGACACCATTCAATATACTCGATCAGTCATCAATCAAGAGACTCGAGAAAGGCAGGAGCAAACAATGCTCAACTATGAAAGAATACTATTGGTTAGTACTCTCCATAATCAACAAAGATATGCAACACAAATATTATCTCAAAATGCTTATGCCAAAGCAAAACTCATTCAACAAAAAGTAGGACAAACCCCATAAAAGAATACATGAACACACACATCATGAATTTCGAAAACCAAGCCAAAGGAAAAGCTCATCAATCAAACTACTAGTAGTAGTATAAAAATAAGAAGTTTAGTTTTAAAACAATTCTATCAAGAAACATAATTCAGCCCACATAGCTTATCTTAACTAGATAAACTCGAAAAATTAAAACTCTTAGAGTTAGACAACTCTAATCTCTAAATTCAGCAACAATTGTTGAACTAAAATGTCTTGAACGCCCTTCCAAAAGGTGGAATATTGGTCTAGCGCCCCTCAAGTTGTAGATAACTCCAATTTACTCCAAAACTTGTAGAATTCTCTTTATTGACTCCAAAAGAATGGAAAAACACTTGAAACAATTGGAATAGTTTGCACCCTATCCAATTATGTAGCAATGGACTCAATCTTGAACACTTTGTTCAAATAGGTCGTCCATTCAAGAACCTAAGTGATTCTTCTCTCTAGCTTGATCAATGATCTTTATGGAACACCTAGAGTCAAACTCCTTTGATACTCTTGAGTACTTATTTCCATGAGTGAATCATCTCTTTTGGTTTGAACCCCAAACTTAATGACATTCTCATCATCTTGATCATAGCTCTCTTGAACCATCTCCTTATCACATAGGTAATCAAGATCCATCATTTCTTCTTTGATTGACATGCAAAGTAAACTTGGCATCCCAAAACTAAAATAAAGTACTAGCCCATTCCCTTCACTTGGAGAGCCACCACGAAAGACTATATGATTCTAATAAGTTTTTCTAGCTGTCTTATTGATTACTAACTGCTTTTGTAAATGAAATGCATTGGCCTAAATCCATAATCTAAAAATATTTCTTATACACAATAAATATAAAAATATAATTTTGAGGTTTTTTTTAACCGAAAAAATAAAATGTAAAACAAATCAAAATGCCTTATGAGTATGAATAAGACCCGCGCGCGGGTTCCACCTAGTGTAGTAGTAATTATAGCGTATAAATGATCCGGGGGGGGCGGGGGGGGGAAGAAAAATTTAGAAAGGATAACAATGCCGGGAGCAGACGAACTCTGTACATGGCAACCTCACCAAGAGGTCGACAACGATTGTATCTTCGAATGGGATGAAAATTCGCAGCTCTATTATCACTCCAGGTTCATCTTTCCGCACCTTTTACAGCTGTGACTATATTGTAATTTTAGGGTTCTTCTTTACTTGGAGGATCCCCTAGGCCTGCTATCCGTTCTCTTAATCCTCGATATTTTTATTATTTATTGAGTCAATAATTAGAGCCCATGTTGCCTCCTGCTATCATAGATGATTGTATGGATCGTTATTTGTTGGTCTGATTTGTTTATTATTATTTTTTTTTGGTTGGTTGATGCAGCTCTGGTTTTTATTATAATCCATATGAATGTTGGTACTACAGCAGCCGATATGGTTCATATTACAAATTTGAAAATGGGAACTATGTTCCTCTCGGCTTGGAGAATGATCAGGTGAATTTCGTTTTGGGCAGATGTTTTATAATTTTCAATTTGGGTTTTCATATTGATGTGGTAGTGTGTTTGGTTATCTAGGCTAACCGGGTAGAAATGTCTGTTGATGTTGAAATTCCCGGTTTAGATTGCTTCATCGACAAAAAGCAGGGTCTGTGTAATGATAATCTTAGAGAAGATTGTGAAGATCCGGTAGAAAGGATTGGAACAGCTTCTGTGGAATGCTTGAATGGTGAATCACTTTGTCCATGAATTTTGAATCTTCTGATGATATGATCATGGATGTTCAACTTCCTGTTAAGGCCTGGTTTTTGAATCACTTTGTCCATGAATTTTGAATCTTCTGATGATATGATCATGGATGTTCAACTTCCTGTTAAGGCCTGGTTTTTGCTGTTTTAAGAGTTAGTTGATTCGCCTAGTACAATAGTTGATGATGATGTGTTAGAACCATTGAAATATGTCTGTTTTTTGTTCTAATGGTCAAAAGAAAATAAACCCATTGTACTCAAACCTACGAGTGAGCAATATGAGACAGTGGGGAGAAAAAGTTTATGGCCAAAGCATAATCACTTTTACTGACTATAAGAAGGATACAGTAAAGCATTAGAGGAGATTCCAATTTTTACAATTTCAGCGAAACAGACTTCTTTGTTTCCGAATTGCCCTTGCGAAGTCTGTTACTTGTTTTCAGTTGGCAAGACAAAGACTTAAGCAGACTTACTGGGAAAATGAGTCACATCAATGACTTAAAAAAGGTTTATTTTTTGGGCTGATGTTTCGTCTTCTGGCAATAAAATAATGAAAAGAATTTCTTTATGGTCTTCCTCTTTTGATTTCTCAGAATAGCTTTGGTGCATTATGTGTGATGAAAGGAAAAATTAAAGTGAAAGAAAGAATAAGAATCTTATAACTACCTAAAACTTTGTCTGAATGCTATAATCTTTCAAATGATGGAAGATTTGCGTCTCTTTTCTGGTTTTATTAACACAACTAGGCCAATGTATGCAGATTTATATAGCAACTAAAGGAGGTCAAAAGATGCAATGCTCATCACTAATTTTCCTTGAGCGCTGATGAATATTGCTAAACTACTTAGATATCTTAAATGATTGTGCAGTATGATGAACAGATGACTACGTTACTGATTGACGGTTCTGAAATACAGATGACCTGGGATATGTCAAGAATCAAACAACAGAAAGTCTGGCTCCACCATCTGAATGGTAAACCTTTTCAGCCCCTTGTGCTTGGGTGGTGTTTCTATCTCTCAGCAGGCATTTATTATATGTTTGTCAACATGTATCTCAATCCCTTTTCTTCCTTTAGGCTAGAAGATACTCTAATCGATCTTTATTTGTCGGGCTACCCCAACCAAGCTGCCACAACTCCCTCTGATGAGGTGCCTATTGTTAATTCCTTGGATGCTGCCAAAGATGGTATTACACTGCTGTGATCTTTTTAATACCGACGAGTATAAATCTATCAGGACTTACGCAGGTCTGCTCGGTTTTGTAGGTGAAGAAGAAAATGGTATTTGCGGATTAGAAGAAGGTGAAAGGATAATTGATGACCATCCTGGCTCTTGCGCTTCAAGCCAGAAAATTACTGATGAAGGTTAGTATTCAACGAGTTTCATTAGCGCTCCTGACCACTGGAATTATAGGATAAAATGGTGGAACAAATTGATTTGTACAATCAACTGACAGATTCTGGGTGTATGCCACTTTTTTTAATGAAATTGCGATTGTTAAGACTCTTAGTCATGGAAGGGAAAAAATTTATCTGTCTTCTTTCATACCTTTTTCCTTTATTCTATTTTCTGAAACTCTGGATCCTTTTGAAACTTTATTTTCTTCTTTAATTTTATATGCCTTCCCAATTTTTTTTTTTTTGTTTTCCTATTTTTTGGGGCCTGTGTAGGTGTGGCTTTGGGAGGGGTGGGGGTGGGGGGTTGGGGAGGAGAAGAGTGGGAACACCCTAGAGGAGATTAGTTTAAAGACAGAAACCAAAGGGTTTCTCGGGCAGTTGAGAATATATTTTAAGTATATGCTTTTGTGAGTAAGTCAAATGAGTTCCAATTTCGGCAGAACTGCTTATAGATCTTTTAAGTCGTTTGTGTTGCACAGGTGTTTCCTTGGAAGAAGAGAATTGGTTGGCACAATATGGTCAAGTCACTGAAGCAACTGAAATTTCTGATTTGGATGCTCAAATAGTGGATTTATGGGACTGGGAAATCATCAGAGAGAACAGAAAAGATGGAAAGACTATGGTAGTCAGATTGGTTGGCCGACTGGTGAAAAGCCTGTCCAAGCTTCATCCATCAGTTTCATCAGGCAGAGTTCGACTAAAAACTGCACCAATTTGTGAAGCTCATCTTGATCTCATTTCAGTTACATCAGGTTTACCTCTCATTCGTAAAGCTTAACTTTTTTGCTTGTTCTTGGAACTTTCAACTGATGCTTCTATATGGAAATATATTTTAGTACTACCTATGTGATATAGTTATGAGAAATAAAACAAGTTATTTCTCCCTCAATTTTGCTTTTCCTTTTACCTAATGCGTTGATTTTTTTATTGGAACATTTTTGCTAATGTGGCTGCTCAATGATTACATATATAACTCAGTCCGGTTTGTTGCTATTTGATTTTTTTTTTTAATTTTTTTTGTTTTTGTACGACAACTACATCAAGGCATTTTTCCATGTTGTGAAGTTTTAGTAATGTGGATTACGTCTCATACATGTTTAGTTACGCAATTTATTCTTGCCAAGGCTGAAATATCGTCTTCTTACAAATCAATCATTCCAAATCATTTTCCGTTTCCTCCTTATTTATATAAATTAAATTCTCCATTCCACATCCTGTACAAGTGCATGAAAAGGCCTCATATCCCACCTTTGCTGCATTTCTCTCATTTCCATTATGGAGTCGTGTTGACTAAATGTATTGCAGAATTTTTTGTACGCATTGTATTGCTGGTCTTTTACCAGTTTAAAATTTTCAAATTAATCTTAGTTATAGTGTGATCGCACAGTATAGGAATCTGTCTCAATTCTTAGACCAATGTGTAGTTTTAAGTCTATTAGTTTTAAAGACTTTCGGTTCTAATGCAAGTTACAAAAATAAAAAGAATAATAAAAAAATGGACCCCTTTGCAATTGAATTTTCATCATCCATGACTATTATCCTCTGCATAAGATTAGTTCTGGAAGACTTTCGTAGATGCTTTATCTCGTCCAATTCTAAGGCCAAAAGTTCCAAGTTCAGAATTAATCCCTGCAATGTGCAGTAGTTGAAGAACTCACATAACAGCCCTACTGATTCCTTCACATTTTATATCTTTATATGCATCTTCTCTAGTCTTAAAGCTAAATACATCGCATTGCACATTGTACTCCAGTTAGAATCCACAAAATTTTTCTACTTGTAGATCTAGTTTCTTCTATTTATAAGGCTTGCAAAGTATTTTTACTGGAGGTGTAATTTTCATGGTAGCTCGCTACGGTGATGTTTTGTTTCTTTTTAGTAGATTAGTCTGTTTTCTGAACATTCAATTGCTCTTTCCTGTATAATTTTTGTGCATAAGTCATTGATATAATGTCCTTGTAATTTGAACTATTTTATGCATCTCTTTTGCTTGTAAATAAAATTACAAATTCACCTGCAATGTTTGAAAATTTTCTCAACTGTTCAATATCTTATTAAAATAAATTCATAAGCTTGAAATCTTAGTTCAAAATTGATCCCTGCTAAGGGGCCTTTCTAATTTAAGTGCCCTTTTTTACATGTATAACATATAATAAGAAGCAACATCATAGGCTTACAATCCTTTTCTTAATTTAGAAGTAGGTTAACAAAGTAACTCCTGAAATGGCTGATCAAAGGTTAGAAAGGAAGGTTCAAAGGGCTCTTTTGAATAATTATTTTCTGCTATCAGCTTTTCTATCTGAGAAGAGAGGAACAGTCCTTGGATCTGTATTCGGTTTAACTCCATCCCAAATGGTGGCCCAATTCAGCCTTGTCCTCCTTAAGCTCTTCTACTGTATACACCTCTAATATTTTTTTCACATGAGGTAAGGTACAGGGCCCTATATGGTGAAGTAGGATTATCCAGTCGGCAATATTTTTCACTTGACCAAGAAGTATTATGCGTCCAAGTCACACGGCTTTTTAACTGAAAAAAATATCTTGGACAATTCATGCCTTTCTGTGGAAATGAATTGAAAAAGAAAAGTACCATTTCAATTTTCGCTTACATTTGCTCCTGTTTTCTGTACCTGTATATTGTATAAAGTTTCCTTTTAAGCAGGCCAGATGTACAGGCTTAGGAGGCCTAGCTTACAACATTTGGCATCTGTGTCGACGTATGATTCTGCAAATCCAAGTAAGGATTGGGGCTTTCCTCAGCTTTCAACCTATAAAGGGACGCAGCAACCTCATCATGGCCACAATCTTTGTTTTGAATCTTCTGCTTCAGCCCATGCATTTAAGGTGAATTTAGTGCAGATAAGCTTTTGTGAATTCTGGTAGTCTCTTAGGGACCCATCCACCCTATAGACTAGTAAAATTTTTTTATTAAACTTTTGCCGAGCCGAGAAAATAGCCCAAACATTTTGGATATTTCCTTTTTGGTGCCATTGTTAAATGGTTAGGTATTTTCATGAACTGGAGTAAGTTCCACATTCTATTGCGTAATTTTCCATTATTCCTCACCTGACTATGTTCTTGATACCTGATCTGAATCGGAGCATTTTTTCACCTCCTAAATGAGTACATGAATGCCATTTACTTACTTGAACTTTTTATTTTCTTGTTTTCTGATATAGTATCAGTCAAAGTAAGCTGAATTTTACTCTGCCTTGTGGATGTAGTCTTTAAGAAATTTATGACTATGGCAGAGGTTCATGCAACCTGTTTATGGGAAATTTGGAATTCTTTTCATTTGTATTCTAACAAATTTCTCCCAATGTCTGTTATGAAATGAAGTGTTGAACTGGAAGTTCTTTGTGTTGTTTGGCTTGTTTCTTTCCATATTTCTAATTAGGGTTGTTGAACTGGAAATCATCTGATTGGGTTCATTCAAACATGCGACTGGTTTTGATTAGAAGTACAGTCCGGTATAAAAACTTTGATAATGCACCACATGCAGTAAATATCACTTGGTTTGGTGTTTTCAGTATAGATTGGAAAAGACTGTGTACCATCTATTGTGATTATAACCCAAACCCTTTTGTCATTTACATTTTTAATGGTTCTTTTCTCGTCTAGGAGGAAAAGCAACAATATCCATATAGGGATAGGGCTGCAGAGAGAAGAGCTTTGCACGGTGGTTTTGGTGTTGGTCCTGGACAGAAGAAGGCATTAAATGCTGCTAGCTCAGCTCCATCATCTCCTACTTCAGATTTTCCTGAAGCTGCGGCGAAGTCAAATAGCATTTCTTTTGGAGCAGGTAGCTACGCCAGAAAACTTCTTGAAGGAATGGGGTGGAAGGAGGTAATAATGATTTCCTGTGACTCCAATTTTGTTTTTCCAGCAACTGATTTGACTGAATTTCTTCGGATGATGATTCACAGCTGAATCTCTTTTGATATATCATCATCATGAGTTTGTTTGCCAAAGAAAACTTAAGAAACATAACTATTATTATGAAATGGAGGTAGTGAATGTTCATATCTATTATTATGAAACGGAGGTAGTGATTGTTCACGTGTAATATTGGAAAAACGCAGGGTGATTTCTGATTTTGTCATGTCTGAATGTTTCTTCACACAGGGTGAGGCACTTGGGAAAAGCACGAAGGGTTTTATAGAACAACTGCAAGCGGTTGGAAACAAAGGAAATGCAGGATTGGGTTGGGATAATGGCAGAAAAATGTCATCCTGATAGAATGTAATAGTATTAGGTATACATATACTTGTATGACCCGATTCAATAATTTTGAGACCGAGAGAAAACTTTTTATTATTGAGCCAGCCGATCATTATATATAAGGTAACATTAATTTAAAATTAAATATTCCGGTACAATATATTAGAGAGCATAGCGATTATTATAAAAAAAAATACTTCATATAAATCATTATTGGCATATACATAAAGGTGGCGCACCGGGATAACGGCTTGCGCAAGAACCGCCTTTAGGATTTCCATGATCGACGCAGTCTTTGAAACAATCAGCATCAGAGCAAAAGCAAACACAGTAAGGTGGCCGATAGGCAGAAAGTCTTTTGCAAGAACCGCCTTTAGGATGTCCATAATCGACACACTCTTTGAAACAATCAGGGTCGGAGCAATAAGGATCAACAATGATTTTTCTCCCAGTTGGATGGGCTGCTTCACCTTTTCCGAAACAAAAAAGAAAAACAGGGAAATCAAAACAAATTTCGAACAATAAAAATGGTTTTACATGTTCGAATTTTTTCATATAAACTAATTAAACAATACGCTAAAATAAACAATTTTTTTTTTATTAAAGGAACTGTTTTTTTTACCTGTACTCGTGAGCAAAGTAAGACACCAGAGTGTCAAGAAGATAGAAAACAAAAGTTTAGATCCGAAGATGGTGTGATTCAGCAGCAATTTGGGGGAGATTATCATTAATTTGTTTGTTAATTTCAGCTATCAAATAGTTAGTACTTATAGATGATTTATAACAAAACCCCACCCAAAGAATGTCTCTTGGACGCAAAAATGTTTCCTTTTAATTATATGGAGATCTTTCTGTATATCATCTGTTAAACTAAACAAAACATTGTAATTATGGGAAATTTTTTGGAAATATTTTCTACTTATCTTTTGCAAAATGGAGCCACTATCAAACTTATATGTCTGATGATACGTTTTCAATTCCCCCACCACAACCTCTCCCCCCAGCCCCACCATAAAGAGCATATCATTTTTTATAGCAATCTCGTAGACGAAACAAATTTCGTTAATGCAACCATCAACAAGAAGGTACAAAAATAATTTTGTCTATCCCGTGAAACTCAAAAGAGTGCGGAAAATTCACAGTAAGACGATCATTTATCTAAGTGATTCTATCTCTTAACTCAAACTAAGCAAAGAATACATTATCCATGAAAGATACGAATTAAACAACAACCCACGCTAAGAATAGCAAGGACACCATTCAATATACTCGATCAGTCATCTATCAAGAGACTCAAGAAAGGCAGGAGCAAACAATGCCCAACTATGAAGGAATACTATTGATTAGTATCTTCATAACCAACTAAAGATATACAACACATACACTATCTCAAAATGCTTATGCCAAAGCACAACTCATCCAACAAAAGTAGGACAAACCCCACAATGGATCTCATGAACAAACTCATCATGAAATTCGAACACCAAGCCAAAGGAAAGGCTCATCAATCAAACTACTAGAAGTAGTATGAAAATAAGAAGTTTTGTTTTAAAACAATTCTATCAAGAAGCGTACTTGAAAAAGAACGGTTTCTGCAAGATCAAAAAGATCCAAGACAAGATGAAAACCCTCTTGGTTTAATCATACTTGACACGAAAAATGGACACTCCATTTAACAAAAATTCTCCACAGGAAAAACTCTCAAAAGAGACAACAAAAATGACCACTTAAGGGTGCTTAAGAAATTCGGCCAAGCCTCCTATTTATAGGCTTAGAATTTTCGGCCAGCACCACTAAGAAGAAGACCAATTAGGACTCTCTAATCTTATCTCTCAAGGAGTAAAAGTAGAAGAGTACTTGATCTCTTTGACTCTATCTAAAATCTAGGAAACCTTATCTAAATGACTAATCCTCAAGTAGGATAATATCTAGAAGGAACTAAGACTCCTAATCAAAACACTCTAGTTTAATTCAGTCCACATGACTTATTTAACTAGATAAAAATTCGAAAATTGACTCCTAGACTTAGACTAACTATAATCTCGAAATTCAGCTCCAAATTATTGAAGTAAAATGTCTTGAACGCCCTTCCAAAAGTAGAATATTGGTCTTGCGCCCCTTAAGTTGTAGAAAACTCCAATTTACTCCAAAACTTGTAGAATTCTCTTTATTGACTCCAAAAGATTGGAAAAACACTTGAAACAATTAAGATAGTTTGCAACCTATCCAATTGTGTAGCAATGGACTCAATCTTGAACACTTTGATCAAATAGGCCGTCCATTCAAGAACCTAAATGACTCTTCTCACTAGCTTGATCAATGATCTTCATGGGGCACACAGAGTCAAACTCTCTTGATAATCTTCAGCACTTATTTCCATGAGATCTTCATCTCCTTTGGTTTGAACCCCAAAGTTAATGACATTCTCATCACCTTGATCATAGCTCTCTTGAACCAACTCCCTATCACATAGGTAGTCAAGATCCATCCTTTCTTCCTTGATTGGCCTGCAAAGTAAACTTGGCATTCCAAAACTAGAATGAAGGACTAGCTCATTCCCCTCACTAGGAGAATCACCATGGAAGGCTACATGATTCTCATCATCCCCTCCTTCTTTAAGAGGATTCGTCCTCGAATCATCATCCTTTGTACCTGCACAAGGAACAAACGAGATATAAGAGTTAGTAAAATCCTCTCCCTCACCACACTCTGATTTTCTCTCATTGCGTGCATTTTTTTCTGTTTCCACGCTATTTTCATGGTTTTCTCTCGCCTCAAGTCTTACCTCAGCGTGACCTTTTTTACTTTCTTGCGTCACTCTCTCGACTTTTTCTCTCCCTTATGTATAGGTTATCTTACGTCTTTTCTCTCGCACAGATTTAGATTGTTCATAAGCCAAAGGCTTAAGAATATATTTTCTGTCCTCTTTAGTAAAGACAAAGACATTCTTCGAGCAATGATGCACAGCATCTACATCTGACTACCAAGGCCTACCTAGCAAAATATCACAAAGAGACATAGGAATTACATCAAAGTAAATTTCATCCCTATACTCACCAATCTGAAAAGGTACCATGGCCTTTTTAGTAACATCCACAACCATCTCTTCACTCAACCATTGAAGCTTGTATGGTCTAGTATGCGGATCCATCTTGATTCCGTTTGCTATGCAAAATTCCTCACTTATACAATCAGTACTCGACCCACCGTCGATTACCAAATCAACTTCATTGGACCACCCAACCGAACACTTAGTACGGAAGATACAAGTCCGTTGATCTCCATCTTCAGTGCCAAACACCAACCCTGATCCTCAATTGGACCATTCCAACCACAAGAAGTATCATGCTCTCTTTCTACTTCTAAGGCAGCATAGTATGCCTCATAGAGCCTTCATTGTCTCCTTATGTTTGGGTATTGTTTGAACCACTTGTCCAAGCCATAGTGGAAACAATCTGTCAACATGTAGTCGTTCTCATCCACTTCTGAACTCTGAAACAACCCTTCTAATTCCTCAAAGTAAGATTGAATGGATCTACCATTCTGCTTACAATTGAGCAACTTCACTTTTGCTTCATCAAAGGTGTTAAGCATATCTTTCTCACAAAGCATTTCTCAAATCATGCCAATCATCCAAATTACGATACCAATAATGCGAATAGAATGAAAACAACGTATAGCTAAGGCTATTTTCTCACTCTCTTTCTCTATGTTAAGCAACACAAACAAATTCTCTATGCTCTTTTCCCAAGTATCATATTCTCTATGACAACCATAAAACAAAGGCAATGACACTTGCAACATTCCAGCATATGAGGGTACTTGTTTAACTTCAAAGCGATCACATAAAACTCTTAAATTTTCAGCAATTTTCTCAAAACTTACCATAGCTTTATCTTGCTGATTTGAAAGCAATTGAGACAAGTCTCGGTTTGCCTCCTTAACCTCGGCCAAAGCATCATGTAGGAAGTCAATTTGACTCTTCATGAGCTGTACTTGAGCCTCCATGCGACCCTCTACACTCTTTGAAGCGACTTGAGTACAACCAGCAACTCCGGATGATATCTTTGCTCAACAACTCTGAGAAACCACCAACAAAAGAAGTAATGTGCCTTGTTTAACTACACAAAAACTCCTTGAACCCTAGAACCAAAGTTTGGTTCAGCCGAAACCCCCCCAAGAACCAAAGGAAGGTTCGAATAAAGCTCTCCCCAAAAACAAAAACTCTCTTGTGCTTTTAAGAACACAACTCTCAAAATTTCAGAATTAAAGAGAAGAGTGCTTCTCTTGTTCTTTTCTCTTTTGATCTCGGCAGCAAGAAAGAAGAAGAAGATTGGAGTAGAGTGATGTGAGAATTTTCGAAAAAAGCACCCCTAGTTATAGGCAATGCAAGTCTTTTTGTGCAAGAAAACTCCTACTAGATAGGACCTAAATTTTCTCAAAAATATTCCCCCCCCCCCTTTTAATGATGAAGGCTGCTCGACAATGTGGAATAAAGAAGAAGAAAAACCGGCCTCATATATATAGACAAGGATAGAGTCCTAAAACTTAGGTAAACATAATTCTTTTTGGACACAAATTAGGAAAACTCATCCCTACTTATTAGAGATAAAATTTTCGACCCCCCTACTACTAAAAGAACTCATATACATGGCCACACACATGCACAATTGTATTAGAAGACTCAAAAATTTTCAGATTAGGATAAGACTTCCTTATCTTAATAGTTTTCGAAAATAGACTCACTTTAAAACTCTAATTATAATCTCACTGAAATTATAATTTAACACATGCAAAAATTAGTATTTAAATCCAAGTAGGACTTAAATAAAACACACAATAAAAATTGTATTACAATTAGGAAACAATGGCTGCAAATTTTCGGCCAATGTGAACACAAAAATTCAAAACCGAATAGGACTCAAATTATAACACAATTTGGACTCAATGACCTTAATTTTAGGGCTAAAATTTTCGGCCATGTGAACACACATATACAAGACCAAATAGGTCTC